ATATACATATATACACATCCATATATGTCTCCATCAATTGTACATGTATATCAGTATTTCTATTTCTTCCAACTCAACAGCCTGAATCTTACATTACAACGCCACGAGTTCCATAGAATCAAAGTTTCATTATAAAACTAATTTCATAAAATGGCCTACCGCCTACATATTTATGTAGTCCTATCGTCCATTGATAACGATTGAGCTTGAATAAAAAAATATCATTAATAATAATGGTCTCTAAACCATACTTAAGTTCACAAGCTTATATGGTCTTGAAGATTAAAAGAAGTAGGGAACCCAAGTGGGTAGATAAGGACGCAAAACACAGGTTAGAGACGCATTTTTCTTGTCCGAATACAGTACAACATTATTATTTCTGGAAATGCCCCACAAATCTTTGTTGATCTCGGAAGTTACAGTGATTTTCTTGTTTGAGTTCATCAATCTGATATATATACGTATGGGCAAACAATGGACGTAATGCGTTGGGGTCACAAAATGATGAAAACGCCAAAAGATCAAAACTATAATTGACGTTAAAGGAAACTTCCCGGAAGCTGCCTTGTTGAGATACGTCTATGTACTTCCCACATGCATGTGGAAGGAACATGTTGTTATCGATCGACACTTCGTAGATAAAAATTTATGAGATTTGTTTTTTTTATTAGTAAGATTTTTTTAAATTGAATGGAATCAAAATCGCCTACATTATTTTGTTTTTCCTTACCGATTTTGCATGTTACTATTTGACGAGTGGGGTCCTTTTAATGTGTACGGATTGACATAATATCTTCTTAGAAGGAATCATAATTATACCATCTCATCTCACAAAGAAAAAAAAATAATCATATCTTCTCCTAAGGAATTCTAACCATAAATCTGCGGATATAACGGCTGAGGAGTTATTTGGTGTCTCCGTTTGAAACGAACGGTTGAAAGTTTTTGAACGGTTGAACAGAGAGTCGTTTGAAACAAGACGATTAGAATCAGTGGTTAGAGAAGGCGGTTGGATAATAGAGAACATTTTAAATATAAGGTTGATTGGTAGCATTGTAGCGGTAGAATAATATAATTAGATAAAATTATGTAATAACTGTTTTTAAATAATTTTAAAATATAATGCATTGAAAAATAATTTAAATTTAATAATATAAATTACAAGTAAATATATATTACAATTATTCACTTTGAAAGTGAATCGCACCAAAAATTGAACGGGTACCTGAAATACTTGAAACATAAATTAACCTAAAAATATTTAGATTTAAAATCTGATTTATTCATATATTAGGCATTTTTCGGTCAATCTGGGTATTGTGGATATATTGGATAAAAATAACCAATTTAATTAGCTATAAATTTTTTTAAAAAATTCGGATAATTCGAGTTCAAAACAATTAAACCAAACTACATTCAAAAACCAACAACAGTAATTATGAATATTTTGCATAATCTTTAAGTAGTACGACTATG